TTTCCAAGTAATGCAAAGGTCAAGAATGAATGTACCCAGAAAACAAAAGACACCCACTCTTACGCATTGGAGTAATATGTTTACTCGATTAGTCATAAAGAAGTTAATTTGCCCCCTTGAATGACTGAAGATACCTTAAATTACTCCAGTTTTCTCTTTGCTACGCAGTAATTACAGGCCTGAATCGGTTCCACAAGAGAAATTCATTTCTAACCACAACTAAGGCATGAGTATTGCGAGATCTCCTCGTGGAAAAATAAGGAATTGTATTGCTTTAAATGAAACAATGAAATTATTGCCGTTAGTAGTAGCTGCAAGCTCACAGAAATTTACTAGTTAAAGCAAAAACTATCAGCATTTAAAAAAACTTCCTAGAGAAATTCTATGCAACACCACCTGATTTGTGTAAGCACCGAAATAAATTGTACTCCACTATTATACGAGTATTAAACTAACACAATTTTCCTTTATATAAGTTGCCAAGAGAATGCGCCTTCTTTTTACCCTTTGAGTTCCAGAAAGAAAAGTCTTCAAAACCTGTCTCTGCTAGAATTGGGAGAGTCTGAAGTATGACCGGTAATTTACACTCAAAGCACATTTTTTAATCCCTAAAAATTTAGAGATAAAAATATTTTTAAATGGAAATACAAAAGTTTAAAAAAAAAAAAATCACAGTAGTCATGACAACCCCATTCCACTTCCTTCTGCTTACCCATGTCATCAATATGATACCTAAAATAATCCACAGCAATTAAACTATCGGCAAGAGACATCTACTTGCGCAGAAAGCAATTCCGGGAGAACCAGCACCAATAACCAAGGAGAAATACCAGCGTGTGTCAGAGATGCACCGTCCAGAGAAGAGGCACTCGCTTCTTGGGAACAACCAAAGCAGACCCTTGGCGGAAGTCCCACCATCAAACCAGCAGAACTACCCCGGCTCTGCTGTGGACAGTTCGGAGGAATCACACCTTGCAGCACACGGCTGCGTAAATGCTTCTCCATCATCTCCCAAAGGGCTTGGGGAGCCCGGGGAGGTCCCCACCGGCTGGAAGCTGGCCGATGTTATTCCCATTTACAAGAAGGGCTTGAGGGAAGACCCAGGAAACTACAGACCTAATGTCAGTTCCTGGAAAAATTACTGAGGAGATCGTACTGGGTACCACTGAAAGGCATTTAAAGAACAACGCAAGCGTCAGGCATGGTCAACACCAAAGGAAATTCTCATTCAACTAATTTGATAGCCTTCTGTGATAAGGTCACCCACCCAGGGGATGAAGGGAAGGTGGTAGATGTAGTTTTTCTAGATTTTAGTATAGCTTTTGATGCTGTTCCTCACAGCGTCCTTCTGGACAAGCATCCAGCTGCAGGATGAGCGGGTTCATGGTGTGCTGGGTGAAGAACTGGCTGAAGGACAGGGCTCAAGGGGCTGCATGGGGCTGGCGACCAGTCACCAGCCGGGTTCCTTAGGGCTCGATCCTAGGGCCGGTTCTGTTCAGTATTTTTATCAACAATCTGGATGCAGGACTTCAATGCACCATTAGTAACCTTGCTGGTGATACCAAACTGGGAGGTGCTGCTGACTCTCTCGAGGGACAAGAGGTCTTGCAGAGGGATCCGGATAGATTGGACCATTGGGCTGTCATTGATGGGATGAAATTTAACAAGACCAAACACCGGATTCTGCACCTGGGATGGAGTATTGCCAGGCACCAATGTAAACTGGGAGAGGCGAGGCTGGAAAGCTGCCCTGCAGAAAGGGATCTGGGGGCGCTGGTGGGCAGCAGGCTCACCAGGAGCCAGCAGCATGTCCTGACAGCCCAGAGGGCAGAGCCCATGCTGGGGTGCATCAAACACGGCATGGTCAAGAGGGGATCACCCCGCTGTATTCAGCCTTGGTGCAGTCTCACCTTGAGTGCTGCATGCAGTGCTGGGCCCCACCATCCAACAAGGATGTTAAGGTCCTCAAAGGCGTCCAGAGGAGGGCAACAAAGCTGGTGACAGGCTGGAAGTAATGTCCTGGCAGGAGCAGCTGAGGACTTCAGTCTTGTCTCGTTTGGACACCAGGAGGCTGAGGGGCGACCTCATTGCTCTCTGCAGCCCCCTGAGGAGGGGAAGCAGAGAAGGAGGTGCTGATGTCCCTGGGATCCAGTGGTAAGATGAGTGGAAATGGTTCAAAGCTGCACCAGGAGAGGTTCAGACTGGACATTAGGAAGCATTCCTTTACCAGGAGGGTGGTCAAACACTGGAACAGGCTTCCTAGAGAGGTGGTCGATGCCCCAAGCCCGTCAGTGTTTAAGAGGCATTGGGCAACGCCCTTAATAACATGCTTTAACTTTTGGCCAGCCCTGAAGTGGTCGGGCAGTTGGACCAGATGATCGTTTGTAGGTCCCTTCCAACTGAAATACTCTTCCTATTCTATTCTAACACTTACACCTAGGAGTAAGCACTAAGTGGGAAGGACCCTACCTGATCACTGCAGCAGGACACTTGCAGATTTTAGAGGAGGGTTTTAGATGTGCACTAATTTCACCAGTACGGCCCAGCTGTAACTTTTTTCCTCATTATTTCAACAGCAGGAGGCAGTTTCAGAGATGGCAAAGTCATTTGCGAACATCAGAACACAGCCCTATAATTCAGCATCAATCCATATGAGTAATGACTAGCAGTCAACTGCATTACAGAGTTTGGTTACAAGAACAGTCTAAAACTTAGCACAAGATTTTCTTTGGGATTTTAATGGCAGAGTGACCAGGGTAGCACTGCACTATTAGGTATTTAGAGTTGAACAGCAGAGATTAATTTTATTCTAGCCCAGTACATACCCCTGTAACTGCTCAATTCATACAAACTCAGAAAGATTCTACGTCAACGTGCATGTTAAAAAAAAAACACAAAAAAAAACCAAAACCACAAAAAAACCCAAAAAAAACCCAAAAAGGAAAAGTGAGATATTGACTCCCCATTCTGCCTGCAAAAGCCTATTCTGGCATATATTGATTTCATTTTGGAAGACAAAAGGCCCTGGGTTCTACAGATTTCCACAGAAAAAAACTGCAGCACACCCATATAAATCCAGATTTCTTACAGAGCACAGCAGTCGAACCACACAATATTGGGATTTACCTCACTTGACTTCTACAATGTAGGTGACCACATCTCAACCAGCTGTCTAGGTACCTACTGTAGGTAATGGAGGTCTAGCTAAAACAGTGGAGCCTTTAGTACGGTTCATTTCACTAAATCCAGTCTCTCCATGAGAAAATGGGGAATCACATCCTGAACTTCTTAAGGTAGCCCTTCACTGACAGTCAGGAGCCCAGAGCGACCTG